AAACCCTCTCTGCAGGGACAAGTCTGCCAATTGCTGTACAAACAAATCTTCAAAGATGAAATAAAACCCTCTTGGTGTCTATGGGAATATTGTTTAGATGCAAATCAAATATTTAGTGATTCAACCGGAACAGCTTATCAGCACCGGCTTAGGAGGAATTATGATTCCTCCTAACTGAATTAACATAACTGAATATGGGGATTCCTCACAGGAAGTGATAGGGATGAGGACTCTGAATTTTGCCCTCCTACCGCATCAGTCAAAAAAAGATCTTGCGAATAATTGATGGTCACTTCCAATGACAACTGCCCATCAGCCATATCGCTGAAAAATCCAAACTGAAAAGTAGCACCTTTGCTTCCTGGTAAGTGCAGAAATGAATGGCAGTATTCGCATCCTCAAGAAGGAAAACTCCTTTGGAGTATCGATTCTGGCCATCTGGAATATTCAGATATGGCCAGACTCTGAGATAGATCTGATGCACTGAACAGAAGCAGAAGGAAGAGAAAGGCAGGTAAACATACTCCACAACCTCTTTGAGTAGAGTCGTTGAGGACTGAGCCCTGAGTCCAACAGACCAAGAGTCAGGTTCTGTCACTAACTAGTTGCATGACCTTAAGCAGAAGAGGTCAGTTCATCTCTTTGAGGGTTAGTTTACTTATCTTCAAAATAACAATAATGATAGTTACTTCCTAAGTGTTGTTAAATGAGCTAACATATATATAATTTGTACAGCACCTGTGATATAGCGTTAATAAGTAGTATCCAATATTATGTTATTATTATATTACTCTTATTAGGCTTCAAAGAAGTTATCAGTATTAAAATTAAGTTTTGAAAACTAAGTTCATAGGGTTTTTCATTCTATTAACTGCACTTACTATTCTGCAGATGATAGTGGCTCTAATCTGAATAATATTGTTGTGCGATTCATAAGATGATGATAAATTATCTTCTGATGTTAGTTAATGTAGGGGAGCAATCTGGCTACGTGGTATTTATAATATAATAGTAAAGGTCAAAGGAAACACAGCCAAATTTAGCCAGTGTGCCAGTGTGCTCCAGCCCCGGTATGAAACAGGGTATCAAACAAAGTAGTTAATTGCAATTGGTTTATTCTTTTTTTTTTTTTTTTGAGAGAAAGAGAGAGAGAAACAGAGCACGAGAGGGGGGAGGGGCAGAAGGAGAGGGAAAGACAGACACTTAAGCAGGCTCCACGCCCAGCACGGAGCCCGAAGGGGTTTGATCTCACCACCCTGAGATCATGACCTGAGCCGAAACCAAGAGTCAGGTGCTTAACTGACTGAGTCACCCAGGTGCACCACTGTTGGTTTATTCTTACAGGAAAACTTAGCCTGAGTCCACTGGTTTTATCACCATGCACAGACTTCACCAGCTCACGGTCCAATGAATGCCATCGGTTTTATGGCACATAGAAGCCGGCTTAATGAGCATGCATATCTACACACCTACTAAAAGTGTCCTACACATTATGCTGCTGGTTCTACATAAAGTGAATATCCACCCAGTTCATGAACTTAGGCCAATATATCTTTATTGCCCTGACATTGTTGGCTATCTTTCCTGAAATAAAGAACTTTAAATTAATTATTAATTTTGGTAGATAGGCCTATTAAAAAATTCTACTTCCAGTAAATAAAGGAACAGGAAGCAATTTTATCAAGGCATCGTTGGAAAAAAGAGAATCGGAACTAAGTTAATTATTAGCCCATCAAGTTCAATATTGAGTCAGCTGCTATATAAATATCTAAATACAATTTTTATAAGCTCCTAACATGCATTCTTTATACTATAAGTGTATAAGTTCTTATGTTCTATTAAACCTTCTACCTCAGTTAATTCTGAAATTATTTGAATTTTATATTTACTATATATATCCAGGCATTTTTTGGTTTAAGAAAAAAAAATGACATGACTTGCCTGGTGTATGATCACATGTGCTGGAATAGAGCTTAACTGAAACTCATTTGCAATGTCCACAGGAAGACCAAAGATTGAAATAAAATTGAAAAAGAACTTTTTATTTTTCCTAAACTAGTCTAAGAACATCTTGTATTGAACTACTACCACCTTTCTCTAGGAAACATGTACATCTGAATCGTTTGTTCTGTGATTCCACATGATAAGATTAGTCTTCCTGGATCAGACTAATTGCAAGGAAGTCATAAATAAATACAATAATTTAAGTAGTCAAGAAATAATTCAGCTTTGTATTATTCTGTGATTTTTAATGTTATCAAAACATTCAGAGACTAAATATGGAGTCATATTATGTCAGGACAATAATCACTCTTCTGTAATTAGAAAGCAATAAAATAAAAAAGTCATCCAGTTGGGCATATAATTTAATAGTGGACTCATATGAGAGGAACTCTGCCATTTCTTTCAGTAAGAATCGGCAGCTATTCTTTTCATTGTGGAAAGTTCAAAGATATTCATGAGACGCTTCTTTCATACAGAGAAACTTCTGTATGTTCATATGTATTGCATTGAATTCTTTCTTCCTCCCAAATTTATGCTTCTCTTCTGGTGTTTATAACATCTATTAATAATACTGCCACCCTCTCATTTCCCAAATTCAAAACTTAGGAGTATTCTAGGTCTCTCCCTCCCCAAGTGCCACGCATTCAGGCTGCAAACAGCTCACGTTTTTTACAATAATGTGCTCTGCAACATATTTCTACTAATGAGCTCAGCAAAATACCTACCGTAATCCCATCACTTAAAAGGAAGAAACAGAGACCCAGAGAGGTGGACTTGCTTAAGGTTACAGAGAAATCACTGAAACAACTAGGACCAGAATCCTGATTTGTTGTTCCTTGGATCATCGGTTTTTCCACTCCCCTGCTGTTTCCATTAATTCTACTTTCACAACAGGCTTCACATTTGTCCCCTCTGTTTCAACTTCCTCTTCCTTAGCTCTGGCTCTTAATTGCTCTGCTAATACTCTCCTAACGGGTGTCTCTAATTTCATTCTTTGCAGTCGTGCTCTCTACTACTGCCAGCCTCATGCCTCTGAGATACAGTTCTTACCATACCCAACCCTCTGCTCCACATTTCCAAAGACCACTCTTACAAAACCTTGTCTAAATGCCTTAGAGTTATGATCTGAATGCATCCACCCAAAATTTATATGTTGAAATTCTAAACCCCAAAGTTGGTGATATTAGGAGGTGGGACCTTTGGGAGGTAGAGCCGTCAATGAACAGGATCAGTGTTCTTTTAAAAAAGACCCCAGAAAAAGATATTTGCAAATGACACTACAGATAAAGGGCTGGTATCCAAGATCTATAAAGAACTTCTCGAACTCAACACCCAAAAAACAAATAATCAAGTCAAAAATTGGGCAGAAGACACGAAAGGACACTTCTCTGAAGAAGACATACAAATGGCTAACAAACACATGAAAATATGTTCATCATCAATAGCCATCAGGGAAATTCAAATCAAAACCACACTGAGATACCACCTTACACCAGTTAGAATGGCAAAAGTTGACAAGGCAAGAAACAACAAATGTTGGAGAGGTTGTGGAGAAATGGGAACCCTCTTACACTATTGGTGGAAATGAAGTTGGTACAGCCACTTTGGAAAACAGTGTGAAGGTTCCTCAAAAAATTAAAAATAGAGCTATCCTATGCCCCAGCAATTGCACTCCTGGGTATTTACCCCAAAGATACAGATGTAGTGAAAAGAAGGGCCATATGCACCCCAATGTTCATAGCAGCAATGTCCACAATAGCCAAACTGTGGAAAGAGCCGAGATGCCCTTCAACAGACGAATGGATAAAGAAGATGTGGTCCATATATACAATGGAATATTACTCAGCCATCAGAAAGGATGAATACCCAACTTTTACATCAACATGGATGGGACTGGAGGAGATTATGCTAAGTGAAATAAGTCAAGCAGAGAAAGTCAGTTATCCTATGGTTTCACTTATTTGTGGAACATAAGGAATAGCATGGAGGACATTAGGAGAAGAAAGGAAAAAGTGAAGGGGGGGAAATCGGAGGGAGAGATGAACCATGAGAGACTATGGACTCTGAGAAACAAACAGGGTTTTAGAGGGGAGGGGGGGATGGGTTAGCCTGGTGATGGGTATTAAGGAGGGCACGTACTGCATGGAGCACTAGGTGTTACACGAAAACAATGGATCATGGATCACCACATCAAAAACTAATGATGTATGATATGGTGACTAACATAACATAATAAAATTTAAAAAAATTTTAAAAAAAGGAAAAATAAATAAATAAATAAGACCCCAGAGAGATCTCTCACACCTTCCACCTTGGGAAAACACAGCAAGAAGTCACCAGCTGTGGTCCAGGAAGAGGGCCCTCACCAGAAGTTGTCATGCTGACACTTTGGTCTTGGACTATCTAGCCTCCCAAACTGCAAGAAATACATTTCTGTTATTTGGAAGCCACCCTGGTCTTTGGTATTTTGTTATAGCAGCCCAAATGGACTAAGACACTTAGCTTGGCATTCGTAGCTTGTTGTGATCTAAGCAAATCAAATTCCTGCTCCGGTATGCATTCATTCATTCAGTCATTCAACAGATATTTACTGAGTTCCTATAGCATACAAGACATTTTGTCAGATAATGCCAAATGAATAAGACTCAGTCTGGTCATATTCATCCAGAAGCTGATTATCTAATAGCTTTCCTTAATTACATATGAAAGCAAAAATGTTCTACAGGGGCAAATTGATTGTATTACAGAGGTTTTGTCAGAAAAAAAGTTAAGAAACATGTAGACAAATATTTATACTATAAGCACTTGATGCCTAATTTACATAGGATGGAATCAGATTCAAATGGTACATCAGTGATCTTTGAATTACTTAACTATTTACCCAAGTTCAAGAAACTGCCTTTTATGTCTTATGGTCTTGACAAACCCCACAGTTCTACTAAATATCCTTTAAACAGAAAGAGAGATTAAACGTTATCATTTCAGCAATAGCTTACCAGGAACTAGAACGTTGTCTGTGTTTCTTTGGGACCGGCCTATCAGGACAGTGGTAAGATTCACTGTTGGTTTTTTAAGTGAACTGGGTTTCTTCAGCACTGGTTTTATTTGCTTCTGAGACTTGACAACACTGGCAAGACCACCAGACAGTGTTCGATTTATATACCAAGTTAAATTAGACATGGCAATTTGAGTTTTTATTTCAATTATTGATTCCACAAATTCTGTCAGACCCTTCTGAAGAAGCTGAATATCAGGTAGGGAACTTTCTATCTGCTTGGGTATGGTTGCATTCAGTTCTGAGATACGTGTAGATGCATTATGACACATGATTAAAACTTCAGACAGAGTTTTGTTAAGTGAAGTGAAGTGAACTGAGAGGTGAATGGATTTTGTTTCCAGCGCCTTAAATCTGGAAGTTAGTACCTGCAGTTGAAGAGCCTGGTCTCTCTCATTTGTAGTCGCACTGCCTTTTTTTAGTGAAACATAATAAGGTATGAGTGTCTTGGTCACTTTAGTCTCAATACCTTGCAACCTAGTTTCAAAATTTTTGGAAATCTTTGTGGCTGAGAGTATTTTTTCCTCCAAATAACTCATATTTTGCTGGTATTTTATCACTTGGGAAGTGGTTTCATTGAACATTTGATAAATCTTTTGAAAGCTGGACTGACTTAGTTTTTCATCCTTAGGAATATCTGCAAGGACCTTGGCAACTTGCAAAACAAAGTTGTATCTCTGATTGTCATTGACCAACACCTGAATGGAATCATTCAAGCGTTGGAATTGAGAAATAAATGTCAAAACAGTTTCCATATTTTGGGTACATTGATGATGGACTTCGGGATTATACTTTATTGTACTTAAAGTCTCTTTTAGCATGTAGTTATCTTGAATGAAATCAATGGCATTATTTATAATAGTCATTGTCTTATTTAGGCCATCTTCCATTTCTAAGGCATATTCATTGATACGTCTGTCCAAGGCATCACTACGACTCTGTACTTCATTCCTAAGTGAGTTGTGTCTTTTTGAAAGTTCTTTGATAAGAATACTTAGACTGTTGACAGCACTAGTCAGGTTTTCCACTTTTTTCCTTGTAGCTATTCCTTCTTTTGGTGGTTCTTGTATCATTGTCTCTTTAAATGGTGCTGCCTGCTCAAGCAAGGGTTGAAGGATCTCCATATCATAAGTCAAGTCATTTAGCTGCTCATTGATTTTATCCATCTTACTGTCCATTGGAAAGAGAACGTCAGCCAGTGTTTGGTTTAAAACTTGTAAATTCTCTTCTGTGTCCTTAATTTGAAATTTAAAATCATTTCTGCACTTGGATAGCATGTCTTCACATTCACCCCTGATAGATTCTTTCTCCATCTCCAAAGCAATAGTGAGATTGTTAATCTTGCTGTCTTGGGTGTGCAAATCATCAAACATTTGCAGCATCATCAAACCCTGCTTCTTTATATTCTCTTGTAGAGCAGACATGTGCTTAGTGACATTACTGCTAACTGATTCAGCAGTTGGAACACCCCTCTGATCTGATACTCGTTCAGTTGATAAAAGCTGCTTGTGAACTTCCTTCATTTTAGAAAGAGTCTTGTTGAGGGATTCATAATACAAAATGCTCCGTGAATGCTCCTGTTCTAAAGCACCTTCTAAATGAGCTTGCTTTGCTTCTAATTCTTTAATAGGCTTTTCACATGTAAAAGTCATTTCTTGCCTAATATTCACAATGTGATTTTTTAGATCTAGTACATCAGTCAAAGTGGGCCTGTTTTCTTGCATTAAAACAGACTTTTGCTGGACTGCTATTGAAACCACAGATTCATTAACTTGACGAATTATTTGTCTGGTGTTTTCAAGGTCCTCTGATAAGTTTGATACAGTCTTGAAGAGTTGTGCTATAGTCTCTTGCATGTCATTCTGAAAAATTTTAAATTGCTCTCTTACTATGTTCTTTACCAGATCATTAATGCTTTTGGATTTTAGACCTAGAGAAAGAAATATTAAACACCAATAAATGATATATGATTTTAATTATGTAAACTTTAGATATCTCTAAAAAGATAAAAGTTTGCGACTAAGCACTAATAACACATAATAATAAAAATACTTCTTCACTACACTTACTTATGAAATTTTAAAAATTACTATAGTTCATAGAAGGTGATTACATTCTTAATTGATAAGTCTGAGGGGAGAAATCAATTGTGGTGTAGAACACACCAGAAGCATAAACAAAAGACATGAAGGAACTGATACTGACTTCAGTTAATAGATCCTCGTATGTTATGATTCTAAGTCTACTCTTACTCTGGTATGAAAAATAAATGGCTTTGGGCTTTCTGGCTCAGTAAATAATACCTGGTATTATCTCATGACTATGTTATTAGGTTGCTAGTAATTAGGTTTCAGAGCTTGTGTTTTGAGCTCATAAAAACTAACAAATTGACGGCAGAGAAGAAATTTAATGAGATTCCCAAATAAGGAACAATATAAAGTAATGGTCACAAGATTCAACAATAGTTTATATCAACAATAAAATAATAATGAGAGGTTTGGGGATCACAAAAAAAGTCAAATGAAAATAGGAATTCAAGATATACCTTGATTATCATAATATGACATTAATTCCTAACAAAAATAAGAGGAAACATGCCACTAATGAAACACACATTAGTATTTCCAGTATTAGAAAGCATGGACTGATCATAAATCAGAATTATGGACAGCTCTAAAAGTAACATAAAAAAAAAAAAAGGGAAAAGGGTCCTGAAGTATTAAAAACTCAGAACTATTCCAAAGAGGAAATTAGTATTTAAAAATGGAAAAAACCCAACCCACCAAACCTGTTACATACAAAAACAGAAAACGGGAAAAAATAAAACATATGCTTGAGGTGTATTTATAGTACATAGCTATGAAGCCCATGTAATGGAAGATAACTCCACTCAAATCCAAAACGGTAGCTAATGACTATAATGTAAAATACTGGCAACATACTACAAAGCATGTAGAACAGGAAGGTATGCACAACTGTGACGTGACTTCTGGCTGTCATAAAGCCTATTTAAGAAAGGTAATTGTAGAATAAAAATATAGGGTCTCTACATGTCTCTATTTCGTAAGCAAGTTTTAAAAAGTATCTGAGATGCATGAGAGATTTACATAAAAAGCATGTGAAAGATCAATTATAGCAAATACAATGATGTATTGCTTGAGCATCTTGATATTAATCTGATACAAAGACAAAGCTGTAAATGTTGTTTACATGAATAAATATTTCCCTGGAAATTCTATACCCTTCAGGTCAATACTGCTAATTGATCTTTAGGGAATAGTATTTCCAGAGTTAAAAAAAAAAATTTTTTTACATTTCTAAACATAGTGAAAACTGAAATACATTTAATAGGCCAAAAAACATAAGTAAGTGAAAATCAATCTGTATGTAATGGAAAAAATAATAGTAAAATGTAAAGTAAAGAGTAAAAATGTAAAGTATGGGAACAGTAAACAATGACATAGCACGAAAGTACTAAGGAAAGGCTAAATTAATTAGAAAAGTTTAAGCAATCACAATCAAGATAAATTATACTGAAACAGTCCTGGCTTTTATATGTAATAGCATGAATAACTGCACCACAGGCTTTTAAAGTATTTTTATTTTCTAAATTTTACTTAGCATTTAACTGGTAACTAACCCATTTGCACAACAAATCTTCACTGAGTGTATTTTATATGCTACACAGAAGGTAAAATTTGGAAAATCAGATTTCTGATACTAAAAATAGAATATGTTAGCTTCACTGGGTGTGAGTTGCTACTCAATAGCAAAGTTATTTTTATCATACTTCCCACAAGATCATTTAGTCATTTCCTGTTAGTTAAAATGGTCTTTAATTTTCACAACAACTTGATGAAATACAATAAAATATTTAAGTTTAGGAATCAGACCTTCTTGGAATTTGTATCATTTTGGTCTTAAAGTGTTTTTCAAGATTGAAAAGGTAAAATAAAACTTAAGTGTAACTGAATTAATTAATTGTGGATAATAAAAATAGCTGTTTAAATTCAGCCAACAAAAAATTATGTGATCTAGGGCACCTGGATGGCTCAGGCAATTAAGTGTCTGACTCTTAGTTTTGGCTCAGGTTGTGATCTCAGGGCCATCAGATCGGCCCAGTATTGGGCTCTGTGGTCGGCACAGAGTCTGCTTGAAATTCTTTCTCCCTCTCCCTCTGCCCCTTACCCCCCATTTGTGCTTGAGCAGGCATGCTCTAAATAAATAAATAAATAAATAAATAAATAAATAAATAAATAAATAAATAAATAAAATTTTTAAAGAAAAAAAAACATGTGATCTGAAAATCAGAATAAGAATGGTAGGTAAAAACACTGTAAATAGGTAAAGTGTAGTTCAGAGTCTGATCAAAGTAACTAGGGAAAAAAATAATGAAAATGGAAACTAGGAGGTGCTTTAGTTATTATATACATTTTTTAAGATTTTATTTATTTATTTGAGAGAGAGAGAGTGCGCACCAGCAGGTGGGAGGGGAGGGGGAAGGGAGAAGCAGGCTTCCAGCTGAGCAGGGAGCCCGACGTGGGACTCGATCCCAGGACCCTGGGATCATGACCTGAGCCGAAGGCAGACGCTTAACCTGACTGAGCCAACCAGGTGCCCCTATATTTTAAATCTTTAATGGAAAAATATACTGGGGAAAGGCTAAAATCACAGCAGTGTCTGAAAAGAAATCAAACAGACTATTCACTTTAAAAACAAATTATTGTTTCTGGAAAAGGAGCTTTTCAGATAACATTTCCATAATTTGTTGCTAAAAAATGTTCTGCATAAGAATCTGATTTTGCAACAATATGTCAAAGTGCTTTATGTCAGTATCTGAGTGGGAACATACTTTTTAACTCTATTTGATTCTGTTTCATGTGACTCATGTGCTTCTACTTCCTAAAAAAGACGACACTGTGGTGACTTAACAGACAGGTATGAGATCAGACATGCTGGCGGGCCCCTCTGTGGTTGTGAATGTAGGGCCTATTCATAACATTCAGGTGCCTCTTAAGGAACTGGGACATTGGATGTCAAACAGTTTCTGTGGCTCCTAGGAGATAAGCCCTGTTCCTCATCCTGGATGTAGAGTCAGCAAGCAAAGAGGTGGTGGTTTTGTTAGGCAAGTGCAGTGCCATGGGGTGAGTTTAGTTTTTGTTACCTGACTGAATATTCATTAACTACAAGCTCTCTGGTTTTCATAACTGATTATGCTTAGCACACGACTAATGCCTCCTAATGAGAGGAGAATTTTGTTGTTGTTGTTGTTATGAGTGTATGCTTTTTTCCTGTGTCACTGCCAGAATCTTCGCTAGTAGTTTCACAAAAAGCTGTTGCCAGGCCTAATTCTCTCTAATTCTCTTTGGTACTGATAACCAAATTTTGCCAAACAAATTTCATTATGGTAGTTATAGTCAATTATATACTGTTTCTATTTCTTACTCTACTTCTTTCTCATGTTGTCACTTCAGGGAAAATATATTCCCTTCTCATGCTTGTCATTGGTAAGTCTGGCCATAGGGGACATGCCAGAAATGTAGGGCAGGGTCTTTCCTTCAGGGGCTTAACAGCACCAATTATTTACATAATTAAAAAAAAACATCATGGTTGCTGCCATACTGGTAGATGATATGGAAACCTCCACCTTATCTTTTACCTGCGAACCACAGGTGAAAAACAAAGACAAAACAACGTGATAGATACAGGGTTATACAATAAGTATACTTTTATGTATAAAACAAAGTGAAAGGGATCCCTAATCCTGAAATTTGGAAACATACAATAAACCTGGAGAACTGAGATATTCCTAGTGGCCAAATTACTTGCTAGAAAATCCATGTCCTCCTTGAAGCCCCTTTGCCTAATTAATTCCTCCTGATCCACACCTGATCCATAGCATATCAGTTGAGATGGTTTCTTTTTGTAGAGGTCTTCCCTGGCGCCCTTATATTGGATTTGTTGAAACTACCAACTGGTCCCATTGTACCCTGTGCATAACACTACCATAGCAATTGCTCACTATCTATGTGGTAGGCAGATCCGTGCGGTAGGCAGCATAATGCTGCTCCACTCATGGTGTCCACACCCTAATTTCCTGAACCTGTGAATATGTTACCTCGCCTGGCAAAAGGGCCTTGGCAGATGTGACTAAGGTTAAAGACCTTAAAATGAGAAGATTATCCTGGATTATTCAGGTCTATCCAGTGTAATCACGGAGCCCCTAAAAGAGGAAAAGGAAGGTAGAAGAGTGGGTTTGAGACACGCCATGAGGACTCAACAGTGTTGCTGGTTTTCAAAGATGGAGGAAAAAGGCCATGAGCCAAGAAGTGCAGTGGCCTCTAGAAGCTGGGAAAAGCCTCAGTTTATAGCTATCAAGAAAATAGGACCTTAGTCCCACAACTGCAAGAAAATGATTTTTGACAACAATTGGAATTAACAGGAAATGGATTATCCTGTAAAACCTCCAGAAAGGAACACAGCCTGCTGTTTTAAGAGCATAAAAGTTGGGCAAAGCTGATTTACATTTATAAAGAAATTATTAGTTCTATTACCTGAGATGTTTTAGGATGTATTTTATTGATTATACTCCATAAACTAGATAATTTCTGGGGTAACAACACACTTTAGATTTATCCTCAATATATTCATCAATATTATTGAGACAACCATATATTTGTGCCTTGATAATTCTTTCTTAACCTCCTCTTTATCTTGAACTGGAAACCACAATGGAAGTAAACTAAGTATGGCTCATTTTAACTATAAAGAAAGACAAGTTAAGCTGTAACTAGTACTTAATGAAAATAAATCAGATGAAATATTGAGTAAAAGATTTGACTATACAGTAAAAAAAAATATTTAGATGCTTCAAATTATTTCAGAGATTGATTTATAAATATCTTACTCCAAAACTATACTCTTAGACTTTTATACCACCCAATCTAAAGCAAAGATTCCAAAATGATATGAGAAAAGATAAATGAGTCATTTACCTTTTGTCTTAACTGAGTGAATATTTCACTTTACTTTTACCTTTTAGAAAAGATTGAAATTCTCTGTCTTTATCTTCACTGATTTTCCCTTCTAGGGAGGAGTACGTGTTCCTCACATCACTCACAGCCAAAGAAATATTGTCAATCTTCTTCTGGAGAAGGGTCAGTTTCATTGCCTGGTAGTTCATCTGCTCGGTCATCTTTTGTGTCACTGCTGCATGGAAAAGAAAAAAAATATGTATATTCTTATATATATATACATATACATATATATAATACTATTCAAATATCATTATTAAAATATCATGATAGGTTTAAAGGTAATTCAAATAAATCATGTTTGTACTACATATTTGAAAATATAGACGACTGTATATGCACTTAGCAAATGGCAGCCTGAATTCTACACTAAGGGTGAAAATTTATAATATATAAATATATAACATATAAATGTAAAATACATATATATATACATTTATAATATATTAGATTTCTAAAATGTTTTAACTTTGCCCAGAATCTTCAGTCTTTTTTTTTAACTTCAAAAAGTTATTGTTACATTCTTAAAAGATGAAGAAACTGAGGGACAGAAAACCAAAGTATTACTGGTTTGAGGTTGGAGAGCTAATACCTCATCTTCTGCTTTCAAATCCAACATTACAGAATTAAATATGTGTGGCTCTGTATGTGTGTAGTCATATCTATAGTCTGAGGATTTTATTCCTTACTGAGGTGTTCTTTAATGAGTGATAAAGATTCAGATTTAGTCTGAATCATTTAACATAGCAATGATACTTCCCATGCTTTTTCATACACACTTCAGTAATTCAAGGAGGATTTTATAGTATTTTATGAAGATACTGAATTCCAATCCCTTAAAAAAAAAAAAAAGTACAGTTTCTATGATATATTCACCTTTATTGCCCCTAAGTCCCATTTCTCAATTTGAGTGCCCTATTTAGTATGACTAGATCTGTGGCAAACACACAGATGTTTTCAGCAGTAACCAATCTTATGTTTCTAAGAAATAAAGTCAGGCCTAAAAGAAATGATTAGAAAGAGAAGATACGTGGCTTGCCAACTTTGGATCAACATGAAGTTCTTGTTGATTCTAAGTCACAATTCTTTTCCCTAGTCAGTGATCCACATCCTTGGTGATCTCTTATCAATCAGTGGAAGGGAGCTTTCTCAGCTCCTTCAGATGATGACGTCATACCTTCCACCTCAAGATTCTCCCACGATTTCAGGCTTTGGAGGACAAGAGTTTGACCTTACTTTGGACACCTGTGATTTCCTTACAACTAGTATAACAGCGTTTTTAATCGTCTCCTGTGTTTTGCACACAGAGCTTCAAAATTATGCGCGGTCCCTCCAGGCTGGGAACCTACGGGTCCTCCACAGACAGAAAAGGACTGAGGGGTATGCTAATGTGTCACCACCAAACATTTGACAGCCACGCGCTTTCTGGTTTGGAAGTTGTTAGAAAGAGTGTTGACAACAACTGGGTTAGGGATGTTAGCGGTTACGCTCCGTGACCTGCGTCACCACAGTCTCGCTGCAGCTGCTGCGGCCGCTCCTCCGCGGTCTCTGCGCCGCCGGCGGTGTGACTCTCAGCCTGCTTGCTGCGCATCAAGGGCGGCTGCTCCTGGGCTGGATGGACCCAAAAGGAGAAGAGAGAGAGTTAAGCACTGGGACTGCCTCATTTCTTCCAGTCCTTCAGGGACGGGGCTGCCATCCTCTCTCCCGTGCCCGGAAGCACGGGGCTCGGCGATGATTGCCGAGATTGCGGAGCGAGCTGCTCCGCCCTCAGCCGGAGGGCCACGTGCTACCGCGTGGGGTTGGAAGTGCAGGACTCTAGTTCCGTCTGGGAGAAATAAAATCATCCAGGTCTCCTTTTAGGCGAAAAGGGATGGCAGTTTGTGACAGCTGGGCCAACTGGAGGGCATACGCTGCCTGCCTAATCGAGGGGACTTTCAAATCGGCTGTGTTAAAGGCTTTAGAAGTGGGCTGTGACAAAGGCTGCTTGTTTAACGGTGCAATTTCCAGCTGGTGTCTCCCTGGAAATAAGGGAGAGCTACAGGTACCGGACTGAAAGAATACCTGTTTAAGTAAATGGGTTGTTCCCAGAGTTGTAGGGAACACCTAGACTCAAAGCATAAGGACTACCGGTAAAAGTAAATTATTACATGGCAAGTCTTAAGGGGATCAACCGGTAAAATCTGGGAAATTTCAGGAAAACAGAAATTCTTATAAAATAAGTCTACTCTGTTAAAGAATTGATGGCCCTGGGGCGCCTGGGTGGCTCAGTTGGTTCAGCGACTGCCTTCGGCTCAGGTCATGATCCTGGAGTCCCTGGATCGAGTCCCGCATCGGGCTCCCTGCTCGGCGGGGAGCCTGCTTCTCCCTCTGATCCTCCTCCCTCTCATGTGCTCTCTCTCTCTCTCATTCTGTCTCAAATAAATAAATAAAATCTTAAAAAAAAAAAAAGAATTAGAAATAGGGGCGCCTGGGTGGCTCAGTTGGTTAAGCGACTGCCTTCGGCTCAGGTCATGATCCTGGAGTCCCGGGATCGAGTCCCGCATCGGGCTCTCTGCTCGGCGGGGAGCCTGCTTCTCCCTCTGACCCTCCCCCCTCTCATGCGCTCTCTCTCTCTCTCTCTCTCATTCTCTCAAATAAATAAATAAAATCTTTAAAAAAAAAAAAAAAAAGAATTGATGGCCCTGTCCCATGAACCAAGTAATATTTTAGATGGAAATACAGTTTTTCATTGGAGAAAACAATTTAGAGTGACACTTTATTAAAAATATTGAACACGTCAAGTAAGGTAGGCCTGTAATTTGTAGACTTTTAATAAGCAAATGTATTCATTGATGTCTGCATATCAGACATGAGAAAACAAGTGTTTGGTGACTAACTGTGCTTCTTCCCATGTGAAATTATGTACCAATGAAACTGTCCCTCTGGCCCGTGTTAATTATGCTCCCTAAGGCATGTGTGACTGTGACAGTAATACTAAAGGATCTCTACTCCGTAGAAAGAATCATATATTTGGTATTAATGTGAGTTAGTCTCTACTGTTAGATTGAATTTTGCATTTCTTTTCTTCAGGGCATTGAGCTAAGCTAATGAATTTCCATTCACGTTCAAGGTTTTTGTTTTGATGTTGCTTCTTTTTTTCTCTCCACTGTATTGTAGAAAGTCCTGTATAATTGTTAATTTATTTGGAAGAAAACAATCTGCAGTTTGGGGAAATTATACTTATTTCAGGGCTGCATAAGTGGCAAAAAGTGTTAATTTTCTCTTACGTCCTAGCAATAAGGTTCCTTTAGCCTAAATTCAAATTAATTCATATAAATGTATATATTAAATAATTGCATAGATTTTTATCAAGTTTCCTCTTTAGATGATGTAGAAAGCACTTTTTCTAGCAGCTAAAATCTAAGCCTACTCAAGAGAGTAACTAGAAAGTGAAGTGATGGTTCTCAAACCAGGGTTCCTAGGTCAGCAGTATTAGCATCACCTGGAAACTTTCTTTTATGTGTAGTAGTCTTTTTTTTTTCCATCTGCAAACTTTTGAAAATACAACTTCTAGGCCCCATCCCAGACCTGCTTATTTAAAAAAGTCTGGAGTGGGGCAGTAATTTGTGTTTTTTATTTGTTTTGTTTTGGTTTTTTGTAGTAATTTGTGTTTTAACAAGCTCTGCTGATGTTTCCAATGCACACTGAAGTTTGAGAACCACGGGAGTAAAGCATCAAAGTAAATCTTCCTTAGCAACTACCTACTTCACTGCCTTCCCTATTTCTCTTAGCAGCGGAAGAGGGTTCAGAATATGTGCAAGTATTTATAGCAAAAGGAACATGTGGCTTGAACAGGATGAACAAATGATCTTGACATTTTCTTACTGCTTACCTGTTTGATCAAATCACAGGAAAACAAAACCAAAAAATCATAGGAAAACAAAAAGATCTGGTGCATTTAAAAGCATTTCCATAACACAGGAGGCAGAGGGGACTTTGTTAGGAAGCAATGCACGATTATAGTAAAAAGAAAGATACCGTTTTGTGCCATACAAACAAGTGACAATTCCAATTTCCTTTTCTATCTATTATTAACTTGTAACACATTATTTTTTTTTTCCTACCTCTTTAGAATAGTGATATTTTCACTATGGATGGAAAACAAAAGCACCTGTAAATTCTGAAACACTAAAAGTGTCATTGTTCTTTCCATTATCCCACCCGGAGATTCTGATTCAGAAGATCTGTTCTGGGAATTGAGTGTGTGTGTGTGTGTGTGTGTATGTATTTATATATATATATAAATTTTTTTTTTTTTTAAGATTTTATTTATTTATTTGACAGAGACACAGCGAGAGAGGGAACACAAGCAGGGGGAGTGGGAGAGGGAGAAGCAGGCTTCCCACCGAGCAGGGAGCCCGATGTGGGACTTGATCCCAGGACCCTGGGATCATGACCTGAGCCGAAGGCAGACGCTTAACGACTGAGCCACCCAGGCGCCCCTATATATTTTTTTATATATATTTTATATTATATACATATAATTTTAAACTCTACAAGTGATTTTTGATGTATGACCTTGGTTAAGAAGTACTGATTTAGGGGCGCCTGGGTGGCTCAGTCATTAAGCATCTGCCTTCGGCTCAGGTCATGATCCTGGGGTCCTGGGATCGAGCCCCGCATCGGGCTCCCTGCTCAGCGGGAAGCCTGCCTCTCCCTCTCCCACTCCCCCTGCTTGTGTTCCCTCTTTCCTGTCTCTCTCTGTCAAAGAAATAAATAAAATCTTAAAAAAAATAAAAACAAGTACTGATTTATAAAAAATTTCAAAAAATTCTAATGTTTCATTGTTAAAAGGCAGAAAATTCCAGATATTTTCATATTAAAATTTTAATCCAGAAATTTATCTTCATAGACTTTTAAACAACCACACTTGCCTGTTGATAATGAGAACATATATTAAAGACATGATCTATTTAAACTCTAATAAATGACAACCTTGAGTCTCCTATCATTCTATAGAGAAGTGGGCCTTTATAAGGAGGTAATTTGATAAACACTATTAAAGAATTTATAATAAATTATTAAAAACACTGGAAAAGAGACAAAAGTTTAAATTTTAGAAGCACTTTCTTATGAGTGTGATTTTTTTGAAAAGAGAAAAAACATAGAAATTTTGTCAATAATAGAGATGCCTGGGTGACTCAGTCGGGTAAGCACCCGACTCTTGATTTCAGTTCAGGTCAAGATCACAGGGTCATGAGATGGAGCCCTGCATCTAGCTTTGCCCTGAACTTGGAGCCTGCTTAAGATTCTCTCTCTCCTCTCTCTGCCCCTTCCCCACTTCTCTCTCTAAAAAAAAAAATCATTCTGGAACATCTTTTGATTTGAAAACATCAAATTGATAACAAAATCAATTAAATGTAAAACAATGTATATTTCTGGAATGAAAATCAATTTGATTTTATTTTCAATAAAAATTAGTGGATTTTTACATGCTATATAAATGTTGACTCAAATAATATTCTAAGCTTTTGTCATTTAAAATTAAAATTACTAGACTTATTTTTCATAATGACAATCAATTTCTGTTAAAGCCCATTTTCAATCAAGAGGAAAATATTAAAGAACTTTATGAAATTAGTCTCATGAAATAAGCTTTTGAAATAAAAATTTTCAAGTAAAGCAAAATTTTTGAAATAAAAAAAAATCCACAAATACTTCATCCAATAGTGTTAATTAAAAAATCAATAAAGAAAGGAAAATGTTTAGGAAATAAAATTAGAATTTTAACATTATATAATTTAAATAATAAATCATTTTTAGAAAAGAAAATACTATAGGACTTACCTAATACAATTCCTATATAGGCGTATCGTGACTAATGTTTTATGTTTAGCATTTGGCAAACAAACCTTGTTTTAAAAAAGTGGAGAATTGCTTTTCAGAAATGACTTTTTTTTTTAAGATTTTATTTATTTATTTATTTGAGAGAGAGAGACAAGTGGGGGTGGGGGAGGAGCAGAGAGAGAGGGAGAGAGAGAATCTCAGGCAGACTCCATGCTGAGCAGGTTCGGGTCTTGATCTCACAATCCCAAGATCATGACCTGAGCTGAAATCAAGAGTCAGATGCTTAGCCAACTGAGCCACCAAGGCACACCCAGAAATGACATTCTAATAGAGATGTCAATTCATTTTTAACTTTATAGGGGAAAAAATAGTCACCTTGTTAAACTGGAGATAATTTGAAAACTGAAAGGCACTTCAGATATGAAAAATGTATATATTTCATATGAAAAAAAATTAAGCAAACAATTATATGAGAAAACACCAATTTTTCTAATTATATGAAAATAGTATTTATATGACAAAACTAAAAAATATAATAAATGTTTACATTCCTTGATTTATGTTGCCACAAATTTGGCCAAATGATGTTTGCAAAGCTCTATGAATTAATTAAATAAGACATTCCTACAATTTTCATGATTTAGTTAGTAATAAATATATTGAATATTTAAAAATGCACATAGTACTTAAGGGCTGGAAAAAATTTGAATGCTGTCATTGTTAATTCAGTAAAGACTAATAGATAATTCAGCAGTATGGCACTATCATTTATGTTAATAGAAATG